CGTGTCAAACTGCCAATTCTCAAAGATGAATGAATTTGATAAAGTAATTTTACAAAGTATTCATGTACATAAAATGAGAACTTATAAGATATAACAAAACAGATGGATGTAAGCAGATTCTAGTGTTACGAATTGGGTAAAAACTGTTTTTGAAATCACGAATGAAGAAAAGTACATAAAAATATAAAAATTTGATGATCCAATTCGATCAGGATGATCTACGTTTGGGGCGGCTCAAACCGAATATTTGTACTAGTAATTTGAGTGTATAAATTACAGAAAAAATGAATCAAGTATGTGTAGAAGTGTAGGCCAACTCAAGCATCCGACCTAAAATAAGCCAAGCACTTGAAAATAGACTATGATTTAGTCTATACTGTATGGATCGGGGGCGTTGTGCCCCAACCTCCACTGGGCACGCTGCGCCCCCAAACCACCAAGCCGGGGCGTTACCTCTAGACTACACTCGCTGACCGATCAGTGAGATCTTTGTGCAACTCAACAAAGTGACAAACAAATCAAGTTTAGCTTAAATTTGAGCTTCACAACACATCAAAAGCATGACCGATTATAGTCATAAAAATGCCAACAAGTCATCTCATAGTGAGAAGAACAAGATAAAAATGTTGAAATTCATCATTAAGCCATTGGAGATCAACAATGAGATGAAAATAATTAAATTTAGAAACATGTTATATGTTGTGCGTATAGTGTTATATGTTGTGTTATAGATGAAAAATAGTTTACTCTCTCAAGAGAAACAAAAAGATATTACCTAGTATAAGAGGAAATAAAATCATACACTTCATGTCAAAACAAAATATTCATTACCATGATATTATTTTTATGTGCGTTTGTTATACTCGTGTACAATGCCAATGAGGAATGCATCATTGATAGGAAATAGACATTTTTTATTTATACTGAAGATGTTCTAGCAAGGAGAAGTTCAAAGAATAGTGTAGCTAAAACATTGATAACCAAACCATTGAAATCATCACTAAGGAAGCCAAAAATAAATTTCTAATCAATAAGATACTAACATTGCACCTTCTAGTAATACAATATGACTTCTTTAACTCTTAGAAAAGATCATCATCGAGTTATTGATCAAAAGAATAAATCTCCTAAATAAGAATTACATGAATTATTTTCATTGATGATATTATTACTAGTGATCCCAACAATAAAAGAGAAGTGATAATTGATGGGACTGGAGACATTACTATTTAAGAAGATAATGCAAAGTCTCATATCAACAACTTTGATTCAGATTTCATGGGGAAAATTTGCACGGAAGGATTCAACACCCCATTTGATGTTTCAACCACCACACAACTTGAAAATAAATATAGGTGACCTGGGATGATTCCGAGCATTGCAGCATTACAGACAACAATCCCATGTATCATAGTAAGTGATTTACTAGAAGTAGTGCATAAATAATTTGAAGAAATATTAGTTTAAATTCAAATTTTCTATGCTTGCAAGCAGGTCTTGAGAAAATCAATCCAACAGTAGCTTAAAAAATTATAAGATCCCTCATTTAAATAAAGATTCAATAAGAAAGACAGTACCTTCACGAGGATTTACTTTATTTCTTAATCTACTACAAAACCTCATTTGATTTGGGACGAATGAAGTTAATTAAGATGAATCAATACTTCCATGTACTCTTTACGTTATACGTTTTGTCATTTTCATTTGTCTAACGTAAGAGGTTTGTTCCCTAAGGGTGTGTTTGTTTGGGGGTTTGAATTTTGAGTTGAGATTTAAATAGTAGAAATTTTGAATTGAAATAGTTGTATGATGTGATATAAATAGGTGTTGATGTAATATTTTGAATGTAAAATTAATTTTTAGTATAATATAAAAAATTACAAAAAATGTTTGATTTGATGTTTTTAGTGAAAAATTTAATGAATAATAGAATTTTGTCAAAATCCTTCAAACAAACACATTCTAAGTGTTTTTAGGTGAAACAATTCTTTATAAATATTATAAAAAAAATTACAATATATATTAACACAATGTATATATACTTTATCCACTCACAAAAAATTAACAATTCTAAACAAAAAATTAATACTTCATTCTTTATATTACCATCAAAATTTATATATAATATAGAAAACACAATCACAAAAAATACAAAATGAACAAACTCCTTATGTATACATTTTTTTCGAAAATATGAACGTTACTTCAAATTAAAAATACGCTCAAATATCCTTTTATTTACGTCAATACCATTACATTAATTTGAAAATCCTTTAGAATAACAAAATATATAAAAAAAGTTTTTATCTATTACATATTTTTAACGCATTAAAACCGCTCGTTAATTAAACAAATGTATATTCATACCATTTTAATTAAACAAACACAAACAATTTCAAAATGCACACACTTTAACCTTAAATACTTGCGATGTTATTTCGTTCTACTTCATCCCAAACCCTTTCACCGCATAACCTTACGATGCCCCTGGCTCCCATACCGCATAATCTTCTCCAATGGCTGACAATGGGGATACGAAGGTGGAAGAGGTTGTGCCACTGTCACCTAACTCTATTACGGTTATGGCGGAAGATTGTTTGTTTTCACCGAATCCTTACCCTATTTTGACCGCTTGCGAGTTCATGTAGATTTGCCATTTTTTTGAGCCGGAACTTTACAGATCATAGTGTCGGGGTCGGGAATGACCTTCTCTGGTGAGATAACGACATTATTATCTTTCTTGAGTACTGATGCTATCAACCCTTGTTCATATACACGTTCTATATATATATATATATATATATATTTAAACTCTATAGGTGCCAAAATCTTGTGATTTTTACAAAGAGATGGTTGCACCGGATTTTGATGATGAGTTCTTTTTGTTTTTTTTTGTTTTTTTTTTTATGACGTGGGGACCCGAAGCCGCTACCTGAAAGTGTGGGTAAACTTCCGACCGAACCTAATACCCTGCAAACCAGGCCCGACGGAAAAGTCACACTAGGTGAATCATATGTGGCAAGTGACCTAAGGCGTCGGGGGTTTGAACCCATGACCTCACGGTCATAAGTCCAACCCCTACACCACCCATTAGTTCTTTTTTTTTTTTTTTTTTTTTATGACGTGGGGACCCGAAGCCGCTATCTGAAAGTGCACACTGGGTAAACTCCCGGCCGAACCTAATACCCTGCAAGTCAGGCCCGACGGAAAAGTCACACTAGACGAACCATATGTGGTAGGTGACCTAAGGCGTCGGGGGTTTGAACCCATGACCTCAAGGTCATAAATCCAACCCCTACACCACCCATGAGTTCTTGATTTTGTCTCAAGTGGTAGAAAACCTAAACGCTGATGGTCGTGATATACACGTCGGGAAACACACTGTCGTAGCCCGTGAGGTTCCCCTTTTGTTCTTGAGGATTTACTGTATAGATGCAATGTCATTCCCAAATTACCTATAATGTATTAAATCAACTAGGCCTATTTCGCTTTCTATTTTATATCATTCTTTGAAATTGAAATTTTATATTTTCAGGTTGAAACGATAATTTTCAATGTAGATTACGTGTAACGCATGTTCTTGGATGTGTGTGTGGTGCACATTGTTTATGAAGATTCACTGTAAATATAATGCAACCACATGTGCATCCAAATCTTTACACACGCGTGCACACTTGATGAAGATTATTATCCAAGAAAACGTATATGAGCAAATGTAAATTTATGAGAGTGAGGTGATAACACTCTCTGATGATTGATCTTAAGCACACAAATCACAATTACTCGATCATAATACAAAATTTTGAGAGCAATCCACAATGATTTTCATATCCTACACGAGGAGTTTATGTTTATAGCTTAAACATCCTCTATTAGTTGAGCTATTTTATAGCTAAAATTCCTTTACCCTACACTACAATAAATGCATTTTGTTGTACATTTTTAACCAGCACAAAAATATAGGTTTAAATTTAATTATGCATGATCAATATACCTCGTGCATTTTATAAAAGTTCTCCAGAGATATTATGAATTATTCTAAACTTTTAATTTTATTTTTATCAATCAAATGATCAATACATGTCTTTAAAATATATGTTGGTATTAAGGATGAATACTAATGAGACATCAAATTGGTAAAAAAAAAAAAATACTTGAAATTGGACCGAAGAAGTATTAATTAAAAATATTATTTCAATTTCAAATTGCTATATTTTAAAATTTAAAATATATTGATATATACATTATTTCTTATTTTATTCTTATAAATACAATTTATAAAAATATTTTATATAAGAAAAACGAATAAATAAAAATTTTGTTTTTATTTTTTTATTTTTCTGGATATAAGGAACAAAAAAATAAAATAAAAATCCATTTATCAAATTTGACTCAAACAAATAAAAAATATATATATATTTTTATTCTAATTTTCCAATTTTCCTATACCATTCACACCTTAAAATTATATTGATAATATTTTATAATAAAAAAATAGATAAATTAACTTTTGAAGGAATGGTGTAATTTTTCTGAAAAAAAAAAAAAAACAAACATATATATATTTTTTAGAAAAATAATATATTACATGTATTTATTATTTATACAAATTTTTTATATTTCACATATAAAAAAAATTAAAAATAAAAATAAATAAAATCGAATAGAATTATTTCGAAGAAGTATCATAGTTTTCCCACAAACAGAAACACAAGTATATATATAATACATTATTCATCCCATTTTTTTTAAAAAAAAATATCAAATTAAATATCTATTTTTTAACTTTTTTTTTATATTATACTAAAAATTAATTTTACATTGAAAATATCACATCAACACCAATTATTCAAATTTCAAAATTTTTAATATTCAAATTCCAAAATCAAAATCCAAAACCTCCCGAACAAACACACCCGTACTCCAATGCAATGCGGAGCGAGCTAGCAGTTGACTAATCTATGGGATGCATTTATTATTTTCTTATTATTGCTTTAGGGGCCATCCTATCTTAATTCCCACTGTGCCCGTCTTTGTTTTCTCTCTGTACACACTCAAATACTTCATCAAAATCAATTCTCCTCCACTCGAATAAAATCAAAACTCGAAAATCAAATCACTGCTTTCTTCTTCTTCTTCTTCTTCTTCTTGTAGGCTGTAAAGCAGAAGAAGGAAGGATCCTTGTTGTATGGATATATGTGCGTAGTCTAGTTACTCTGACTCCATTTTTTAATGTTTTTATGTAACTAAAGTGTAGTTGTTTATTTATTTATTTATTTATGTTTGTGTGTGTTTGCTTGCTGTGTGAGATAAAGTTTGGTGATGCTTTAAGAAGCTTATTGGTTTGCTAAAAAAAGCTATGATTATTCTTAGTTACTTAGTTGGTTTTTGTTGATTTTGAAATCTGTCTGTTAGGATGGTACGGGCGAATCGGGATCCGTTCATTTTGGGTGTTTGATTTTGAGAGCCGAAAATTAGGTCATAATAATAATAATAATAATAATAATGGCGGCGAAGATCGGAGGAGGTGATGAGGGTGCGGCGGCGAAGTCGCTGAGCCGGCGGCTGAGCTCGAGAAGCTTGGCGTCGGCCAGCGCGCGGGAGGTGTTCACGGCGGCGCTTGGGGAGGACGCGTTTGCAAGGAGCGTGCGGGAAAACGAGGAGGAGGAGCTGATGTGGGCGGCGATTGAGCGGCTGCCGACGTACGATCGGATGAGGAAAGGGATTCTGAAGCAGGTGTTGGAGGACGGGCAGGTGGTCAGGGAGGAGGTGGACTTCGGGCAGCTGGGCAGCCAGGGTAAGAAGCACTTGATGAAGAACATCCTCCGCGACGTCGAGCAGGATAACGAGAGCTTCCTGCGGAAGCTTAGGGACAGAACCGACAGGTCCGTCCCTACCATTTGCATAATTATAAGATGTGATATAAATATGTATTGACAAAATAATTAATTTTTAGTATAATTTTCTCTCCCTCTGGTAAATATTAAAAAATAATAGTATTTTAATTATAGTAGGTAGTTAAAAACAGTATAACGATATTTTTGCTCTTGTTTTTTTGGTGTAAAAATAATGATGTGATTTAAAGTAATAATATTTGTGAAAATAAATGAGTTATTTAATAAAATATTTATTTTTGTAATTAGATGTCCCAAAATAGAAATATTGTATAACTAATATAAAAAAATAAAAAATAAATGTATGATTTAATATTTTTGGAATGGAGAAAGATAAAATCTGTACAAATCCTTGAAACAGACACACCTATAATAATTAATTATGTGAATCTCTCTTGTTTAATATTAATTAATTGATTAATTAATTAATTTAGAGTTGGGATTGAGATTCCGAAAGTAGAAGTTCGGTACGAGCATGTATCGGTGGACGGGGACGCCTTCGTCGGCTCGAGAGCTCTGCCTACGCTGCTCAATGCCTCGTTGAATCTAATTGAGGTACATCCTCTCATCTATTATGCTTATATTGCCGTTTTTTTCTATGTTATTTTTTTTTTTTGGAAAATGATTAGACATTTTGATTTTATTTTAAATTTTTTAATTTAATATTTTCTAATTTAAATTAATCTAATTAGTTATTTTAATCGTAATTTATAATTATTTATATTATAGAATAATTATTTTAAATAATAGATTCTTAATTATCTACTAGTTATAAATATCATAAATTTTAGTGTCTACCGTAACCCGTACATTTCTACTTTCGTCCGTTTCATTTATTCTGTCACTTTTTTTCGAAAAGAATTACACACTTTAATCTCATTTTATAATTTATTATTCTTTTAATTTTAATTACACTAATTAGTTATCTTTATCTTAATCTAAAATTATTTTTTATTGTATTATAATTAATTTTACTAATATATTTTTAATTATTTATTAATTATATCCCTTCTAAATTCACGAATCTAAATTTTGGTTACCATTGCAATAAGAAATTATTTGTTTTGACCAAATTATTCACACAGACAATGACATTTATGTCTTTCTATAAAATATTTAGAATTATGAAGGGCCCATTAATTATGGAACTGAACAAGGATTTAGTGCAGATTTTTTTATATAATAATGGTTAAATACTTCTTACATTTAAATTTATTCTTACTTCTTTTTCTTTATTTATTTATTTTTATTTTATCATCCAAATTTATTCAAATTTTTTTTAGAAAATACCATTTTTTTTACTAAAAAATAAAAGTTTCTATTTTTACTTATTTTCTTAAAATTTATGTTCTGTCAAATGAACACACAATTGATCGACGAGATTTTATGCAAATAATAATAATAAAAATAATAATAAATACTATAACATGAGTGTCTGTGGATAGTTGAATTTGGTATTTGTGTAGACACGACACGGGAGTGAGCTTTGGAGAAATTTATGTTGTGTAGGGAGTTTTTGAGAAGGTGAAGTTAATCCCTTCCAAGAAAAAGTCGATCAAGATACTTGATGACATTAGCGGAACTGTGAAGCCTTCGAGGTTCGTTTGTTTGTTTGTTTCTTTGTGTCTGAGAATTTCTTCACTTAATTAATTAATAGGTGCGTGACGATGCATCATGTTTGCTATTGCATTGCGTAGGATGACGCTACTTCTCGGCCCTCCGGGTGCTGGCAAGACCATTATGCTAAAGGCGCTTTCTGGGAAGTTGGACAAAGATCTTAGGGTAGGGTAGGGTAGGGTGGGGTTGGGGTAGGGGTAGGGGTAGGGTGTGTTGGTTTCTTCTTTGTCTTATTATTTTCATTTCATCCATGAACAAACAGGTGAGCGGAAGAATAACATACTGCGGTCACGAGTTGTCCGAATTCGTACCTCAGAGGACTTGTTCTTACATAAGCCAACACGACCTTCACCACGGGGAGATGACGGTTAGGGAGACCTTGAATTTTTCTGGACGTTGCTTGGGAGTTGGAACCCGATACGAGCTCCTCGCTGAGCTGTCGAGGCGAGAGAAAGAGGCCGGGATCAAACCCGATCCAGAGATCGACTCCTTTATGAAAGCCGCCGCAGTGTCGGGACAAGAATCGAGCATTGTCACCGACTACGCTCTCAAGGTCTCTCTCTCTCTCAACATCATGTCTTTCGCCATATAAATTTATTTTATGGTAAATTATATAACATCCACTTGTGTTTTATTTCTTAAAAATGTTCATTTATTGCGTGAAACACCTTGTGTGTTTGATATGGAACTTTATTTAGAACCAAACATCAGTTAATCAGAGTCTTTCGTGCAAATTTTACATTAACAAAAGAGGTTTGACGCAATAAATAAAATACAGCTTCGATGCATTTTTACTAAAAGACAAAGAAGTGTTATATAATTTACTCATTTATCTAGGCTAAATTGCACAAAATCTTTTTGGGATTTCGTGAAATTGGGTCAAATCCCCCGTACTTTTAAAACTGCGTCAAACTTTCTCGTGGTTTTATAAACTCTCCGTCTAACCACTCGGCGGTCCTTATTTAACGGTATTTGACCTAAATCCACCCAAAACTAAATTTTAGAATCTCAATTTCTAAACCCCTAAAATTACAAATATATATTTTAATATTTAGGTCAAATACCATTAAATAAGGACAGCTGACGCACGCATTTATGAAACCACAATGGAGTGTAACACAGTTTTAGAGGCACATGGATTCGACGCAATTTCATCAAACTACAAGTAGGTTTTGTGCAGTTTAACCCATTTATATATACGGAAATGTAACGTCTGTTATGGCGCAGCTACTCGGATTGGATATCTGCGCCGACATATTGGTCGGAGATCAGATGCGACGAGGGATCTCCGGCGGACAGAAGAAGCGTCTCACGACAGGCGAAATGTTGGTCGGACCGTCCAAGGTATTCTACATGGACGAGATCTCAACGGGCCTCGACAGCTCAACGACGTACCAAATTGTCAAATACATGCGACAGATGGTTCATATCATGGACGTAACGATGATCATATCACTTCTACAACCCGCGCCCGAGACATTCGAGCTGTTTGACGACATTATTATGCTATCGGAAGGTCAGATCATCTACCAGGGGCCGCGAGAATACATCCTCGACTTTTTTTCCAGTGTCGGATTCGCATGCCCCGAGAGGAAAGGTGTGGCCGACTTTCTACAAGAGGTTACTTCAAAAAAGGATCAAGAACAGTACTGGTCGAAAAAGGATGAGCCTTACAGTTATATTTCGGTGTCTGAATTCGTCGACCATTTCAGTTCCTTCCACGTCGGGCAGAAGCTTTCCGACGACCTGGCAGTCCCTTACGACAAGGCCAAAGCTCATCCCGCTGCGCTGGTTACTGAAAAATACGGAATATCGAATGTGGAGCTGTTCAAGGCTTGTCTGTCGAGGGAATGGCTTTTGATGAAGCGGAACTCTTTCTTGTACATATTCAAGACATTCCAGATTACCATAATGTCGATAATTACTTTCACGGTGTTCTTCAGAACAGAAATGAGTTCAGGCCAGCTCGTGGATGGAGAGAAGTTTTACGGTGCTCTTTTTTTCAGCCTTATTAACGTGATGTTCAATGGCACGGCTGAGCTCGCGCTTACTGTTATGAGACTTCCGGTTTTCTTTAAACAACGAGACGGATTGTTTTACCCGGCTTGGGCATTTTCTTTACCCATCTGGCTCCTTAGGATTCCCCTCTCGATTATGGAGTCGTCCATATGGATCATCCTAACGTATTATACGATTGGATTCGCTCCTGAACCTAGTAGGTATGTAGAGAGTTAAAATATATTTAGAAACAATATATTATATTTATAGTAGTTGTCTTATTTAAACGATTCGTACATTCTTACCTTATTTAGACGATTTGAATGTCATTATAAATATATACGTATTTCAATCATAAGAATATATACATATTTATAGTGAAATACAAATCGTCTAAATAAGGTAAAAATATGTTATAATATAAAATTTAAATTTTCTATTTCAATTATAAGAATACGTACATATTTCTATTGATATACAAATCATCTAAATAAGGTAAGAATCTCCGGATCTCTATTATAATATAAAACTGAAATTTTTTATTTCAATCATAACAGTACGTAACTGATATACAAATCGTCTAAATAAGGTAAGAATCTACGAATCTCTTAAATAAGACAACTACCATAAATATAATATATTGCTTCTAAATATATATTTATCACAGAGCTGAGTCGAACATTAATTAACTATGTTAGCTATATATTGTAGTTTCTAAATTCGACGTTCCTTGGCAGGTTTTTCCGGCAATTGCTTGCATTTTTCGCCCTCCATCAGATGGCGCTGTCGCTGTTTAGATTCATCGCTGCTCTCGGAAGAACGCAAGTTGTTGCAAACACATTAGGCACATTCACATTGTTGATTGTCTTTGTTCTCGGAGGCTTTATCATCGCTAAAGGTTAGTTTCTCCTTGCCTCGGTCGTCTTCACGTCGCCATTTCTAAAGATCTCCTACCGCCAAGATTTGATGTTGGAGTATATTTCACTTGGATTGTATCAGATGATATCAAACCGTGGATGATCTGGGGCTATTATGTTTCGCCTATGATGTACGCGCAGAATGCTATAACCATCAATGAGTTCCTCGACAAAAGATGGAGTACGGTAAGTTCTTTTTATATTTTTCTGACTGTCGGTCTATGATTCCAAGTCTGAAAATTATTGCTTGCCTTTAATTGTTCTTCTCAGCCGAATACGGATCCAAGGTTCAGTGAGCCGACAGTAGGCAAGGTTCTTCTTAAGCTGAGGGGAATGTATACGGAGGATTATATGTACTGGATATGTGTTGTTGCTCTCTTCGGATTTTCGATTCTTTTCAACGTCTGCTTCATTGTTGCGCTCACTTATCTGAATCGTAAGCTCTTGCCACTTTTCATTAGACTTCGGCTTCGTGTTGTCTCATCGTACATTTTTGCAAACTCGTGCAGCTTTTGGAGACTCGAAATCAATCGTTCCGGATGAAGATAGTGTAAGGAAGAGAAAGACTCTTGCCTCGGACGGCAGTCTACAGTCTGAAGCTTCCGAAGGTATGAAATTGTTGAAATATATTTAGAAGCAATATATTATATTTATGGTAGTTGTCTTAATTAAAAGATTCGTAGGATTCTTATCTTATTTAACAATTTGTATATCACTATAAATATTTACGTATTCTTATGATTGAAATATAAAATTTTAGTTTTATGTTATAACATGGTATCAGAGCCAAATTTTCCGGGTATATCTATGACCCGTTGTATCTCATATATATTTTTATATTTTATTGATGTATCTGCTTCTATTTACGGTCATGTTGTTATTTTTATACTGTCTCTATCTCTATTACTCCAATGAGTGAGTTTACTTTCGACTCGAACGCCGTTGAGAGTTTTGTTTTTTATTCTAACTCTATCGAGAGCGAGGGAGTCCTGTTTCCGACTCTAGCTCCGTTGTGAATGAGCGAGTCATGTTTTCGACTCTAGCTCTGTTGTGAGCGAGCGAGTCCTGTTTCCGACTTTAGCTCTATTAAGAGTGAGTGAGTTCTGTTTTCAATTCTAACGGTACTGAGAGTTGTACTTCTGACTTTGATCCAGTAGATGGCTACACCACTCTTAGTCAATCTTAGCGAATTCAAATTCGTATGTGGAAGATCTCGGCTATATCTTTTTCGGTCACTTCCGACAAACTCATGTTTAAGAAGGGGTGTTAAAATATATTTAGAAACAATATATTATATTTATGGTAGTTGTCTTATTTAAGAGATTCATACGATTCTTACCTTATTTAAACGATTTGTATATCACTATAAGTATTCCCGTATTCTTATGATTAAACATATTATAACAAATCATACTGTTTTGAGATTTATCAGTGAATTCGAAGGTCTTAACAATATGCAGTTTCGAATGTATCTATTGCAGGTGGGGAAATGTCTCTAAGGATTAAGTCGGAAGGAAGCAGCAGAGCGACGAGAGGAATGTTGCTTCCGTTCACTCCCCTTTCGCTGGTGTTTGATCACGTGAACTACTTTGTCGACATGCCTGTTGTAAGTGATTTCGATGACTGACTAACAACTCTTATTTTAACGAACTTAACGGCTCTGAAGCTTTTTTTTATTGATGTGTTGTTGGCTTCCGATAGGAAATGAAAAAGAATGGGATCGAAGAATCTCGACTTCAGTTATTGAGGGATGTGAGCGGGGCTTTCAGGCCGGGAGTTTTGACGGCGTTAGTCGGTGTAAGCGGCGCAGGGAAGACGACATTGATGGATGTGCTGGCGGGAAGAAAAACCGGCGGATATATCGAAGGGAGCATCAGTATTTCTGGCTACCCAAAGGTTCAATCAACTTTTGCTCGAATCAGCGGCTATTGCGAGCAGAATGACATTCATTCTCCGCACGTGACAGTTTACGAGTCCGTCGTGTACTCTGCCTGGCTGCGTCTTTCTAACACCGTCGATAAGGAAACTAGGGAGGTAACGGCGACATCTTGATCCGACTCTTTTTTTTTTCGTGTGACGAGTGATAAAAAATTTGAAGCGCTCGACTGTTTTTGGTTTGCTTACTATAGATGTTTGTCGAGGAAGTGATGGAATTGATCGAGCTGAATCCGCTGCGAGATGCATTAGTTGGCCTACCCGGAGTGAACGGTTTGTCAACTGAACAAAGAAAAAGGCTGACTATAGCAGTCGAATTGGTCGCTAATCCATCGATCATTTTCATGGACGAACCGACTTCGGGACTCGATGCTAGAGCCGCTGCGATTGTGATGCGCACGGTGCGCAACACAGTCGACACAGGGCGAACCGTCGTGTGCACTATTCACCAGCCGAGCATAGATATTTTCGAAGCTTTCGATGAGGTAAACAAAAAAACGAGCGCATATATATATATTTATGTATGTATTTCTTAGGCGTGCATTTCAATTACGTCATGTCATTTCATCTTCGTAGCTATTGCTGATGAAGAGAGGAGGACAAGTTATATACGCCGGCCCTCTTGGCCGTCATTCGCATCTCTTGATCGATTACTTCAAAGTAAGTCGGATATTAATTTTTCACATCAACATGAAAAAGATGCATTGAATCTTTCTTTTTTGTTCCTACAGTCTGTACCGGGTGTTCCCGACATCAAAGAAGGCTACAATCCTGCGACGTGGATGCTGGAGGTCACTACGCCCGCAATGGAGGCTCAACTTAACATAGATTTCGCCCAAGTTTATGCAAAGTCTGATCTATACCGGTATCTACTTACCGACTTAAAATGCTGTAGCTGTAAGCCATGTTAAGGGTTCGTTTCGTTTATCTCTTATGCCGTATATTATCGCAGGAGAAACGAAGAACTGATTAAACAGCTCAGCAGTCCAGCGCCAGGGTCGAGCGAAGTACGGTTCCCAACTGAATACGCGCAGTCCTTTTTTATTCAGTGTAGAGCTTGCTTCTGGAAGCAACATTTGTCGTATTGGAGACATCCTCGGTATAATGCCGTTCGATTCTTTATGACTATAATCATCGGAGCCATGTTTGGGATCATATTTTGGGACAAAGGGCAACAAATGTAAGGCTATCTCCAACCCATCAACTCCATTTATCGAGTTTTAATTCTAAATATGCAGTTGTTACAGTAATTTTACTCTAACCATAACTCAATTTTTCACTATTATTCTTCAAATATTTAATTTTTCATATTATTTTAAACAATTTTTTATTTTTATAATTTAAAATAATTTTTTTTTTTAAATTTAGAAAAATAAAAAATTAAATTTTTTTGGTGTTGCACTGTAGCAACGCCAAAATATGGCGCAGCATTTGGGGTCGGTTGACCAACCGACGCCATAAGTCGACAGAACATGGAGGTTTGGCTTAATGAGGGCTTTACTAACTCACTTCACTTGCAGGTCTAAACAGCAGGATTTGATGAATCTGCTCGGCGCCATGTACTCGGCTGTTCTGTTTCTTGGAGGAACGAATACTTCTGCCGTGCAGTCGGTTGTCGCAGTCGAAAGAAGTGTTTTCTACCGCGAGAAGGCTGCAGGGATGTATTCAGCTTTGCCTTACGCCTTTGCTCAGGTACAAAACTACTCTAGAGCAAACACGCTTAACACTAGAGTTTTTTCAGTATGGCTCTCGAAAGGAAATGTGCACATTGTTGACATAAGTAGTCTATTCAATTTATTTAACCTCTTATTCAACCTCGGGGGTATTTCATCCTCCCCGACTCGTATCACTATTTAGCTCCGCGGGTATTACATTTAACCTTTAGGATGAGAGACGAATTGATATATTATGTCTATAACGTGTTGTAGGTGGCGATCGAGACTGTATATGTCGCGGCCCAAACGTTGATATACACTCTTCTCCTTTACTCTATGATTGGTTTTGAGTGGAGGGCCGAGAAGTTCTTCTTCTTCTACTTCTTCGTGTGCATGTGCTTTGTGTACTTCACCTCCTACGGGATGATGCTCGTCGCGCTCACGCCCAATTACCAAATTGCTGCGATCGTCATGTCCTTCTTCCTCAGCTTTTGGAACCTGTTCTCTGGTTTCCTTATCCCAAGAACGGTATATGTCTCGCTCTCAAACTACCAATCTAGATATCACATCATTTATATTAGTATTTTACAAATACAGTAAAAAAATTGAAAGTAAAATTGTTCATAACTCTCATGTTGTTTCGAAATTCAGCGTAAAATCTCCTTGTGCTTTGAAAATTGTATGACACCCCTTATACTTTAAAAAACGTTGCATAAAACCTCATCATTTTTAAAGTATAAGGGAGCGATATGCAATTTTTAAAATAAAATGAGCATTTACGCTAAGTTTCGAAACAAAAGGAGTTATAACAATTTTGCCAAAATTAAAAGCACATGACATATTTTTACAGAGCATAAGACACCGGAATGATTTTTCCAAACAACACTAACGAAGAGTCCAAAACACATGAGCTATATTTAAAACATGAGCTATCTGAACTTTTTATCAATGGTATCTAATCTCTTATAAATCACTGTCTCATCTAAAAGGTTAAGTTAAGTTAGTATTAATGTAGATTCATTGATTCAAATCTCATTATTAACTAACTACGACATTGATTGCACAGCAAATTCCGATATGGTGGAGATGGTACTATTGGGCTTCTCCGGTGTCGTGGACAATATACGGTCTGGTGACATCTCAGGTGGGGGACAAGGAGGAGTTGCTGGAAGTGCCGGGGTTCGGAAATGTGTCGCTGAAGACATATTTGGATCAGTATCTGGGGTTCGACTACGACTTCCTGGGCGCCGTGGCTGCCGCGCACGTCGCCTGGGCGCTGCTTTTCTGCTTCGTGTTCGGATTCGGCATTAAGTACCTCAACTTCCAGAAGAGGTGAGCTGAGTACTCAACTCAACTGCTACGTATGCACATACTCACTCATTTATGCCTATATGCTTTTTTATTTATTTGTTACATATACTATATATTACATCAAAATATGCCTTGGTCGTTTATAACAAAGTGTATTATTATTTGGGTTTTTTTTTTTTTTTTTTTTTTTTTTTTTTTTTTTTATCGGAGACAAAGTGTATTATTATTGATAGAAGGGAGAATTGTACACATTAAAGTTTGTTATAGGGTGGTTCATGTCCCTCAGTTGAGCAGTTGTGTGTTTAAACAAGTTAGACAGTCTGTCAAACTCTTGTAGATCAAGCGGTGACGCATCTCTCGTTTGAAGGTTGGGTCCTGATTGGATCCGGGGTGAGTGGGTGCGGATGTTAAAAAAAAAAAAAAAACTTCCACAAGTTTTTGGGATTTTTTTTATTTTATTCAAAAAAATTTGAATTAATAGATTTATTGATTACTCAATTGAACCAATACTTATAAACCAAACAGTACATATCCGACAACGTTTTAGTATAATATAAATCATATATTTTGATAATATATTATATTATTATTATATATAGTACAATATAATTTAATTTTAGCACAATAAATAGATTATTACAATACAACATAATATATAACTCACAACAAATGTTAATATTTTATTCGTCTCATAATAAGGTATCTATTTACTATTTGCGTCATTATATTAATATTATAAGACATTAATAAATGTATTTTTGTCGTTTTTCCTTAATTTGTAATATGTTTTGATATAATAATTAATACTAAAAAATCAACACGTCAAAAGTAAATGGATACTTAGTTACGGGACTAAGGGAGTATATGTTGAATTTAAATGCCAGTCCTTAAAGCATAAACGTACCTAAAGATGAAGCCACATACGAATTTTGGGTGATTGAGAGTTTGGTCTTCTAAGATCAGAGCGGGGCTTCTTTTCTATCATTGACGGGCGAGGAATAGAAACTGCATGGAGAATAGATTTATTTTAAGGCTCTGTCCCGGCGACCTAACCCTAGCCTATTTAGGGGAAACATAATTGTAATTACAATTATACCCTTAATTAATATTATTACTTTCTCACGTCATAAAAAATAATAATATTATACGTCTAGCTGTATTTTCATTCCATTACAATCAAACCTATCACTCAATAATTAATTATATTAATTAGACCACTTAAAATAATATGACTGAATAAAATAATGACTTTAACAATACATTCGATACACATATTTGATCCAAAATTTAACAGTATAATATATAACATATCATATTATATAATATCATATAGTATGATTTCGACACATAATTTGTCTTTTTTATATAATACAATATATGCTATCCTAATTATTTTTAATTAATGTACTAATAGGACAAAGTGCTGACTTGTTTAACGTGAGATCGCAACTGCTATCCGAAAGTACGCACCGGGTAAACCCTCAACCGAACCGTTGAGATTTTTAGTATAACAAACAGATAGTACATCAATTTAATTAAGAGAACATATACTGTTTTAATTGAAATAATTTGTTGTCTAGGTACTTACGATGAGCTAACTAAAAAATTAAATGCAAAGGTATATTAATTTTAGCATGATATGACTTTTTATAAATATTATAAAAAAATTATAATAAATACATGCATTCAAAAATATTAATAATTGAAAAAAATATTATTGACATATTTTTCTAAATTGAATATAGAAAATTTATTTTTTATTTTTTAAAAAAAAATAAATAGTAGCATTATTTTAGAAGCATTTTTTTATCTTTTTATTTACTTTGAAAGGAGAGGATTTGGTGCTGATAGTAAAAAATCAGCACCATTTTGGCAGTGTTAAAAATATTATATTAAGGGTGTGTTTGCTTGGGATTTGGATTTTGAATTGGGATTTGAATAGTAAAAATTTTAAATTTGAATAGTTGTATGATGTGATATAAATAGGTGTTTGATTTGATATTTTTGGAGAAAAAATTGGATGAATAATGCATTTAAAATCCAATCCCCAAAACAAAATATCGGCATCCAAACCCCTCTCAACTTTAAAATAAGGAATAGACAGTTGCTATCCCCAAAAAACATATTTTTATTGTATGATCTACGAAAAGTTAATTGTATAGGTTTCCAAAATATTGGCCTTCGGATTTTTGTTGAAAATGAAGGCAAAATATAATCCTGACATCAAACGAACACATTAAGAACTGAAATATTTGATCAGAAGGCAAGAAAAACGAGTCAAGGTAACAAAAAAGGCAAAATCAAATTGTTGTATTAAAAAATTTGAATATTCTATATCTTCTGATGATTTGATGAAATCGGTCGGAAAAAAAAAATGTGAAAGGATCCCGTAAAATACTTCAGAAAATTTTTAGAAAGAATATTTCGTGTTTGCGGAAAGGGTGAAATGAACTTGAAGTAGGATAAAAATATAAAGGAACTGACAGAAAAAGTTAATGACAACCAAATGAAGAACACAATAGAAATAAAAGAAAATAAAGATAAACATGATAAATTCTAGGAATTGTGTGTTTGGTTGGGATACTCTTGCATCTTTTTGCTTCAGCTTTTATACTCTCATCAACTTTGTAACTCTACTCCATCTTAATCGTACATAATTTTCACCATTATAGAAAATCATCAAACAATAGACCATTTCCAGCCCATTACTTTATTTTTCAGTAGCTAGGGTAAAAATGCAGTTGATTTACAGTAATTTTACTCCAATCATAAACTTCAATTTTCAGTATAAAGTATATTACTTGTATATTCTTCTTTTATATTATTTTATATAACTTTTTATATTTATAAATTACACCTCAATTTTAATTTATTTTTATAATATAACCCATATATATAATTACACATTATATATCACTTTTCGAAAGATAAAATTATATATCACTTTTAAAAAAATAAAAGTATACATTATTCTTAAAAAAATAAAATTATATCACTTTCCAAAAAATAAAATTATACACTATTTTTTACAAAAATAAAATTACATCTCATTTTTAAAAAAAATAAAATTATACAATATATCCTAAAAAATAACAAAAATACACAAACACCACAAAAACATCACACAAACTCCACTCATAAAATGAAGCGGATTGTACAGTGTTACTACAACGATGCAAAAATAGAAAAAATTTGGGAATAAATTAGATCTCCTCCCCACAATTTTGGCACAACCCACTGCATTGTTTTGCAGTTGCAGTGGGTTGGAGTTGCTCATATGTAACTTGTATAACTTCAAATATCTTAAATAATGGATTCATTAAGCCTTCTCCCACTATTAAATAACAACTATAATCTCCATAACTTTCACATTAACTATTAAATAAATTCTGTTAACAAGGTTTACCTCCACAAAATGAGCTTCACAACTTCATATGGGCTGGCTTTATCTTCATTAGGCCTTGGTAAACTTAGGCCTTTCCTATCACTTGGTTATTTTGGGTTTTTTTTTTTTTTATTTTTTATTTTTAAATTTGTCTCAACACATCATTTATCATTTCTTCTATTGGGCCGGAATCCCTCTCCTTGGGTTTCGAAATTCTTAGGCTAGCTCCCTCTTGTATTTAGGCCATGTAATATTCATCTTCGGCCGAATCCACCACTTTAATTTCTAATTTTTCTGCCTTAATTTCCATTTTTGCCGCCTTGATTCCTCCAAAATTTGATGGATTTCCTTGGTATAACAAAAATACATTTAGAAGCTAAAAACATTGGAAGAATATGAACAAAACTGTAAAAATCAACTATGAAGGCTGCTCTTTCTTTGTTTATGTATCAATCTATAGCTTATATAGAGAAAAGTAGATAGAGAAAAGTTAGATGACAGCATACATCGCACGCTGTAAAATTAAATAAAGTAGACCTATTTCCGCAATAAAGAATAGTGTACTATAATTGGAGTGTTGTTGTCTACTTAGGGAATAAGAAAGAGTTTTATTTTCAATTTTTTAATATTTAGATATAATAAAATGGGGTTTTTGAAAAAAAGTGAAAATAAAAATACCAAACTAAAATTCTACAAAAAAAAAAAAAAAAAAAATCCTACGACCATAAGTTAAATTCAATAAAAAAAAAAGCTTGTAGTTTAGAAATGAAATTGACAACATGGATTGTGAATTTGATCATCGATAAATATATAATTTCATTAGTTTTTAAATAAATTAGTTATACTTAGCGTCACGCACTTAATAACCCTTTTTTTTCCTTACCTATTCAATAGTAAAAGTTTGCCTTTATTATTTCTCTAATTAGACTAGAACTCTAGTGAAACCATAAATAATTTACTGTATAACCGCATTCAGAACTAAAAGAGACTAATTCAATTTAATAATTACCTATGCAAAATTATTTAAAATTAATTTTGTGATTTTCTAGTAGTGTTTGTTTTAGTTGCTACTTGGACCAGATTAAAATGCAATTACGGAAACCTAATTTAATTTTACAATTAATCTTTAATTAATTAAAATATCTGGCCACAATACCCAACTAAGTAAAAAATTATAGAACGTTGAAATTCGAAATCACAGAAATATTTAGGAACTACGAAATAATATAAATCTTAGCAAATCTAATACTACACAAATTTGTAACAAGTTATTTTTCACTCCTAAACTAAAAAAAATAAAAAATAAAAATATGTACTCGCTAATCATGGGGAGAAAAAACAAAAATAACAAAAACAAACATCGTCTGAGATTGATCGAGGAAGAACTTGAAATTTCATTGGAAGAATATTTCTCCTTTTTGTTGCGCAATTTTTTTTTTTTTTTTCTGGTATTCTTATGTACTGTTCTCCCTTTTGATATGATAATATGTTTTCTTTTATTTTTATCCTATTTTTTTAACAATTGGACTTCTAGACCTTTTAGTTAATTTCTCAGGTCATCGGGCCTTTTTATTTTCTTTTCTCTCTAATTCTACAAGTTTTGTTACTTTTTACTTTTCTCCTGTATATGAGAAATAAACAATACATAGACAAATAAAGTAGAATCCGATCAAAATAAAATAAATATCACATATAATATGAATATTTAACGCATATGATTTCTAATTATCACTGGAATATAAGATTAAAAGGAAACATATTGGACATAAAACTACAAGAAAACCAAATAAAAGTTGCATTAAAAAAAAAAAGGAAAAGAAAAGCTGAATTCTTGGGTCTGTATGTGGCTGTCCATTCGTTCTCTATCCAAGGATTGATTGGAAGAACTCACACTTCTTATTGTCCCGGATCGAAACCTTGGCTGAAGAATGTCGATGAGCATCCTGCGACATAGATTACATTTCTAGTTTAGGAGTGAAAGAAACAATTTGGTATGGAAATGTGAGATTATACTATGTTTTGATTTATATTATTTTTTGGTTCCTAAGTATTTCTATGATTTTTTATTTTTAATATTTAATAATCTTTTATTTTGTTGGATATTGTGGCCAGACATTTCAATTAGATTAAATATCAATTGCTAAACTAAATTATGTGTCTGTAATTGCATTTTAGTTTGGTTCAAGTAACAACTAGGGCAGACGCCACTAGGAAATCACAGAATCAATTTTAAACAGTTTCGTATAGGTAATTGTTAAATTGAATTAGGCTCTTCTAGTTCACAAGAAGATTAGGCTAGTAAATTATTTGTGGCGTCGGTTTAATTAGGAAAACAGGTGATGGACGTACCTAGACTGTCGAGAAATTAAGGAGAGTTGGTTACTAGACGTGTGTCGGTAACTATAACTAATTTATTTAGAAAACAATGAAATTAAATATTTATCGATGGTCAAATCCACTATCAAAGTTGTCAATTTTATTCCTAAACAGGAAGCTTATTTTTATTGAATTTATCTTTTAGCCGTAGATTTTAGTTTGTTATTTTTATTTTATCTTCAACTTCCAAACCCCCTTTTTTATTATATCTATATATTAAACAACCTAAAATAAAACATTTGATTCCCTGAGAAGACGACCCTACTTCAGCTATACTACGTTATTTTTATTGTGGAAGTATGTTTATTTTATTTAAAATTTTCAGCGTGTGACGAACGCCTGTCAAATTTTGGCGCCGTCTCTGGAGAGTTTTAATTGGTTTAATTTATCTTTGGTTGTGTTACATAATTTTAAAAATCAACTTTTTTGGTTTATATCAAGATCTGATCGCACAAGAATCTTGATTTTCGATCCCGAGATTAAGAAGATTGTGCGTCGATTGAGAAAAAAACTAGGGAGCGTCGCCAAAAAGATTTAACTTCAGAATCATCTAACGATTTGAGTTCCGATGAGTTTAAACTAGAAGAAAAATGGATCAAATGACACTAAGAGAGCTAGCAGTGTTGACTTGACTTAGCAGCATCCCTGCATCACATACCCAACTATAGATGGTAACATTGCTTTTAAATTGAAATTGGGACTAATACATGTGTTGCCTTCTTTCCATGGTTTTTATAGGAAAAGAGCCACATAAACATCTTCAAAAATTTGATATCATCTGCACAAATATGAAGCCACCAGAAATAACAGAAGATCAAATTAAGCTTTGTGCTTTTCCTTTTTCACTGAAAGACACTGCGAAAGATTGACTATCTGGATTAACATGAACAGAAAGTTTCTTGTAAAGTACTTTCCCGTCTCATGAGTTGCAATCATGATAAAAGAAATATGCAGAATCAAACAACATACAAGAGAATCTTTATTTGAATATTGAGATTGTTTTAATGCTTTACTTATTAGATGTCCACATCATCAAATCCCCGTGCAATTACTGATTCAATATTTCTATGAATGTTTGACTTCTATCGATAGGAGAATCATCGACACAGCAAGTGGAGGAGCTTTAATGAACAAAAAACTAGAGAGGCATGGGACTTACTGCACAACATGTCAATGAACTCACAATAGTTCGGACCAAGAAAAGTAGTAGCAGTTAAAGAAACAAGCGAGTGACATTATATACAACAACAATTGACCGAACTAACTTCATTTGTTCGAAAATTTGTTGTAGGGAGGGCACAAGTCAAGGAATGTGGGATCTGCGCAAGTCCAGAACATCCTACCGATATTTTTGTCCTACTTTTAGTCAAGAAGTAGATGTCAATACTACAGGATTCATCCCAAGAGCAGACAACCCCTACTCGAACACTTACAATCCAAAATGGAGAGATCACCCGAACTTGAAGTATGAAAATCAACAAGCCAACATTAAAGATCATTTACGAGGATTCTCGGCACCTAACCACCCTTCAAAATCCTCTCAAATGGTTTCAGATAATTCTTTAGAGAATATGATGAAAACTATGGCATCTAATATGTTGCAATTTCAACAGGAAATTAGGAATAGCATAAGGAACTTGGAAGAACAAGTAAGTCAAATAGTGAATAAGAGACGCGACATAAAGTCAAGAGAAAATGGTATATTGCCCTCGCAAACCGATGCTATCCGAAGAATGTGAGTTCAATTGTTATTCAAAGTGGCAAAGATTTAGAAGTATCAAAAGCTAAAATTTTAAAGGACAAAAATGAGGATGACATTGAGAAAGAGATAGAGAAAACCGCTAGTGAAAATTCGGATAAGGTAACTTCTGAAACACCTACTCATCCTAAAACTAACGTTGCACCATTTCCTTGCAGGTTGGCGAAACCAGAGAAGAGTGACAAAAACAAGGAGATGATGGAGATGTTTCAAAAGGTAGAATTGAGCATACCTCTACTCGATGCGATCAAGCAAGTGCCAAAATATGCAAAATTTCTGAAGGATCTTGGCGTAAAAAAGAAGAGACTAAGAGGAGATGAATGCATAATCGCTGGAGAGTGCGTATATGTTGTTTTACAACATAAGCTTCCTCCTAAATGCGGTGAACAAGGTGTGTTCTCAGTCCCCTGTAAGATAGGTAAGTTGGAGATTAAACGAGCAATGTTAGATCTAGGTGTTGTAATTAATGTGATGCCTAAGACTATTTATAAGTATTTGAATATTGGACCTTTAAAAGAAACTGGAATTATTATACAATTAGCCGATAGGATAAATGCTTATCCTAAAGGAATGATTGAAGATGTCCTAGTGCAAGTTAACGAATTAATTTTTCCGGTTGATTTGGTTGTGTTGGATTTTCATGTCATATTGAGTCGCTTGCGATTTCTTTTGGTTTGTTTGGAATCTATGCTTGAGGACAAGCATAATCTAGGTATGAGAAGATTTGATAGCCAGAAATCGCATGCGTTAAATATTCATATTCTTTCCGATATTTGGTTGATTTTGATTGGATTCTACATAATTTTTGTATATATTGTTTATTTATGATTTTTAGGAGAAGAATAATAAAATTAGTGGAATTTGGGGGAAAAAAAGGGAAAAAAAAAGCCCAATAGCTCAATAATTAATTAAAAGGCCCAAAAACACAATTGTTACAAAATTATGGTAGAATTAAAAAGAAAGAATGGAGGATAGGTGCCATTTCATATGCTGCCAGAGAGGATAACACAGTGCAGAACAGTTCCAGGGATAAATCGCGGAAGGTCAAGAAGGAGAAAGATTCTTCCAAGAAAATTTCAAGTTCTTCCCATCAATCCGATCTATCTAAGGCGATGTTTATTTTTATTATCTTTGTTCTTCTTCCATGACTAACGAGTAGATTACTTTTCTAGTTTAGGAGTGAAAGAAACAACTTTTTGGATATGTGAGATTAGACTATGTTTTGATTTTTATTATTTTTTGCTACATAAGTATTTCTGTGATTTTTTATTTTAATGTTTAATAATCTTCGATTTTGTGGGGTATTGTGCCCAGGTATTTCAATTAGATTAAAGTTTAATTGTTAAACTAAATTAGGCGTCCATAATTACATTTTAATTTGATTCAAATAGCAACTAGGGGCAGACACCACTAGGAAATCACAGAATCAATTTTAAATAATTCCGCATAGGTAATTGTTAAATTGAATTAGGCTCTTTTCACAAGGCAATTAGGCTAGTAAATTCTTTGTGGCGTCACTAAGGTTCTAGTGTAATTAGAGAAACAATTGACACACGTACTTAGACTGTCGAGAAATTAAGGAAGAATTGGTTATTAGGCGCGTCTCGGTAACTATAACTAATTTATTTTATAAACTAGTGAAATTAAATATTTATCGATGATCAAATCCACTATCCAAGTTGTCAATTTCATTCATAGAGTGGAAGCTTATTTTTATTGAATTTATCTTTTAGCAATAGATTTTTAGTTTGTTATTTTTATTTTATTTTCAACTTCCACACCCCCATTTTATAATACCTATATATTAAACAACCGAAAATAAAATATTTTTTATTCCCTGAGGAGACGACCCTACTTTAGCTATACTACATTATTTGTATTGTGGAAGTAGGTTTATTTTATTTAAATTTTGCAGCGTGTGATAAACACCTTTCAAGAAGATTAAATGTTCCATAATGAGTGAGAATCCTTTACCCAGTATTGTACAAAATTTTTTTATGATCAATGACACAACAAAGTTTTGGTAACAAGTTTAAATTTTTCAATATTGCATGCCAATCATAACTGCAAGCATGTATACTTACTTTAAATTCTTTTAATCCATTGGTAAGTTAAGCTTTTGATATGTTTTAGACTAGGGTTGGATCACTTGCGAGCACTAAACTTAGTCATTTTTCCTTTACCCTAATCAATAGTCTGAATATTGAGTTAAACTAAGTACCCGCTGATATGAGTTGAAAATGTTAGTGCCCTATTCGTTTCAATTAATTCATATTCAGTAGGGCAAACGATATTTTGTCTATCAAATTGTTTATATGAGCTGAAATTGAAATAAGAAGTCCTTAAATACGGTTTAATAAGCGATACAAACGAAGCGGGGAGGACTTGTTATTAAAAGGATTGAAAATGCCTATGTTTGCGATGAAAAAGTATATAAGGTAACGAGTAGACACAATGTTTGAAACTCTGTAACCCATTGTAAACTATAATGAGCGATGCAAAAAAAATATATATCTTTTCACGCCTTTTGGCTGAAGGTTACCTTATCCAAAAAAATCCCTGCTGAGCGAGTAAAGCTGATTATTCTTGGATAGCTTAATCATGTAAATCAAATTTATGAGTTTTGAATGCTTAAGGATCAACTGCTTATATTTGAGATTCACTTTGTCCACAACCATGACACTGATCTTATGCAATACTTGACTTCCTTGACAGGGTTAATTGAGTTTGTTCGAGCACGAACAAATGTTTAGTGTAAGGAGGTTTGATAACTCTAAATAATAGCATAATTATCGCTTGATAAAACTATGTATTTCCCGAATTTTTATGCGAGAACCATCACAACCTCTGATTTATTGCATACTTTATTGATTTGTTTCGCTTGATTTGATCAAAAACTCGCTTGTGAAGATTATTGATATCTTTAGCTTTTTTAAGCAAATATTCTAGCTCAGAAATGCCTAAGTATGATGACCAAGCGAGAGTGCAGCCATTTATGGCAAGCGACGTTTTTTCTGCTCACAACCAGCCAGACGTCCATCGCTGACGAACAATGATCCAGCTGTTTCAAGAAATGCGTAAGTGTAGAGCTCTCAGTGGTCAGCCATCTATTTTTGGCCAGCGACAACAACCTCGCTTCAGTTGTACCGATGCCCTCCTGCCAAGCCAATTATACCAAGGTGAACAAGGAAGATTTGCGCCCAGTTGATGTAGTCCCGTAGACGAGCGAGCAAACTAGGAGTTATGGCAATTCCAAGTTCAACCAATTAACTGCCTAATTGCCTAGTGGTTGCAACAACATTCCAACCGCTCCAACTGCTGCTATGTAATCACTCAACTGCTGCCAACTGCTGTTCCAAAAAATCTATAAATAGGGTCAGATTTCTTGTATAATATATGATAGATCATACTATGATATTGTGCATTTACTCTGTTCATTTTTCTAGAGCTCCAATCTTGTAAGTGAGTTCTCTTAGCTATAGAAGGAGTTCTGGGGAGTGAAGATTCTCTTCTCCCGTGACCACCTAGTTTTAGTCGTTTTCTAGGCAGATTTACTACTTTCTTTACTACTTTGTTATCGTTTCCCTAATGTAGATTTACCGCTTTGCTAGTATTAATCCAGTATCAAGATTTCTCCATCTTCAAATTCATTCCTAATCAAGTTTATATTTGATTGTTTAAATTTGAAATTTTACTCGTTGTGGAAAGTGCATTAGACGAATTAACTATCAAAGTCTAATTTTGCGTTGTATTCATTAAAAATTTTTAGGTAGTTCACCGTAATTAAGTACGCGGAAGCCTTCCCAACCTGGTTAATTGTTGTTCTTAATTTAATTTTGATTAAAGAGAGGTATCAGAAGGGTAAAGCCACTAATGAAGCAGGTTTCCAGAATAATTAATTAGACATAGGCTTTGTCTATCAGGTCTCAGAAATGTCTACTAAAAGTAGTTTTTTTTACTTATAATATTCTGAATCTGGGTGTCATTGAAGCCTTGTTGTAAATCCCTTAAGGTCAAGTACCAGAGTCTCAAGAATCTGGTTTACAGGAACAAGTATGATCACTTTTCTTACTTATGTCGCTTCACATTATAAATATACTTTTCGCTATTTCACTTTCATCACCGCTCATTTCATCAGCAAGGATCTAGTCATTTCATTAATGCACAGATCACACACAAACACCTCTGTTCATGTTCATCGTATCATACGCATCGCTCATTTACTCACTTTCGCCATCACTCACCGCTCGCCAACCATCACACATATATATAGCTCATTGTCGCCCATGCCGCTTCGCTTGCCAACGCACTCACTGCGTTCACCATTCGTAAAATATCGTTTCGCTCGTTGTCCTTACCACTCACACTTTACTGCTTTCTTTACTTTATTGCAATTTATTGCTTTTCGGCTCGCTCGCCAACGAGCCAATTTTACTGTTTTTTTGATTTAACCAGACTCGATAATATTTCTTGATTTAATTTCATGATTTAAAGTCCTTGTGTTCGACTTGAAATCTCACCAGTCAAAGAGTATAAAATCAATTATGATAAAACAATTTAGGGTCTACAACACCATCATTTTTATTAAATAACTATATCTGATCATTTGTCATATGCCAAGATTCGAGATTATCTTAACACATCAAAATCCCTATTTTCCGAAAAGCTAGACTCAAACCATAAACTACAAGAGAGTGTTATCAGAGTGGCGGGCGCCCAAGTCAGCAACGGAGGTATGGTCATTCCTTGATCTGACGAATTTCTATTGACGGTTTGTTAATGGTTATTCAGCGATGACGATCCCCTTGACAGACACGTTGTGAAAGAACAAATAGTGAGATATGTATCTAACAAAAATTTAATGATAATGTTCTTGTAGGCTAGCGAAATAGGACATACACCAAATAAAATAGAATTTTATTTGCCATTGTTTCAGCAGATACAATAAAATAAATTACGTATTCAAGATGTTGCACCTATTGAGATATAATTTGTTAAATATATATATTTTTTCTACTGAATAATAGAATATAATGGTTTGCAAATTTTAGATTCCTAGACAGAGCTACAAATATTTTTTGAAAATAGTTCTACTTGTAAATTGGATAAAAAATACTCGTTAATGCATTTATTGGTTTCAACAATAAAGGTTATGCCCCGGAACTTCGTTCCAAAAGTAAGATAGTAATGGTTCAACTTCATCTTTAATGTTCACAATATGTCACATCTACAACTTATTCAACTATGTGTACGAAGGAGCAGTTGAAGCAACTAATGAAAAATTGGATTAAATTTGTCTATTTTTTTTAAAAAAAAATTATTGATATATTTTATCTTCAAATTTTAAATTATAAAAATATAATTTTTTATTTTTTTTAATAAAATTTGTCTATTTTTTTTAAAAAAAAATTTATTGATATATTTTATCTTCAAATTTTAAATTATAAAAGTATAATTTATTTATTTTATAAAATTGATGAAAATTTTAGAAATTCTGATTTTCAAAAGTTTGATAATTCTATCAATAACGAACTCGAGTTATAATATCCCCAAATAATTAGTCTATTTGATTTTTATCAAATGTGTCGAGAGAAAAATAAAATTTAAAGTGAAAATGGGAATTGGATCGGTGAAACGAATAGGAGTAGACAGTATTATGGAAACGAAGAAAATGATGATGAATATGAAAAAGATGATGATGACCACGATGATAATGATACTATTTTGACTACTTAGTATTATTAACATTTTTGTATATATATTTTACTTGATGTATTTTATGTCGACAATAAAATTAATTTAAATATAATTTTGATTTATTCTATTATTTTTAAAAATATAATTAGATTTAATTTTAAAACTAATTCATAGTTAGATGAATATTCAATTTTATTACTTTAAAATAAAATTAATTAAAAATAAATTGGTTCTATTTTTGTCACTACAACAATCTAGTGATAATTTGTCACAACAATTTATTCTGGTTCGCATGGAAAGATAGTTCATTTAATGTTACAAAGATTTTTCTCTCATTCTACACAATGTTATTTTTCATCACCCCCAACAACATCTTTAAACAAGTTCCACTCCTTAAGGGATGACCTGCTGGTGTGGAGAGTAAACTTGTAACAGTGAGATCATGCGTTCAAACTCGGACGCCTCCAGGTCCACCTGCTACACATGGTTCGCCTAATATGACTTGCCTTGTCGTACCTAGTTTGCAGGGTATTAGATTCGACCGGAGGTTTACCTAGTGCGCACTTTCAGGTAGCGTACTAGACTTTAAAAAAATATTTTTAATTAACAGACCGGCCTATTTATTATTATTATTATTTTTATAAAAATATTTTATTATTATTATATATTAAAAATAACTTTCCATCTAATAATAATATTTATTAAATAATTATAATTATAAATTTATTATAAAAATAGAATTTTTTAAATTATATATATTTAATAATGATATGTACTTTATTTTTATTTTTAATTCTAATACTAAATTTGTAAATAAATAAATACATAAAAATATTATATAGTATTTTAAATAGACTTGTAGGCTGTCACATTTTTAAAAAGGTCAGACTCTCAGACTTTTAAAAACAAATTTCAAGCTTCCAGGCTTAGGTCAAATATTATTAAAACAGACCAGACCTATTTAGCCAAAGCCTGGTCTGGCCTATTTACACTCCTAGTGATAGTAATGACACAATAAATACCACATTTTCTAATTATGATTTATATATTACTCCATTCGTCCCATGTAATATGAGTGTATTACTGTAGATACGAGAATTTAGGTAAAGTATAATTAGTAAGTAATTAAGAAGTGTATTAGTAAAAATAATTATAGATTAAGATTAAAATAAGTAAATAGTTTAATTAAAATTAAAAAATTATAAAATTTAAAATGCGATTAAAGTGCATAATTATATTTCCAAAAATAGAAAGGACAAAGTTATGTGAGACGGAGGAAAATAAAAAATATGGACAAATTATGTGGGATGGACGAAAATAGAAAATAGGGACAAATTATGTGGGACGGAGGGAGTAGCATTTAAATTATCTTAGTAGGAATATTTTTATTATTACTATTACTATTATCATTTTGAACTATTATTTGTTTATATGACACTAAACGACTTTAGTTGTTATTAAATTTCTAGCATTTAAATGTTCTACTGTTGTTAATGTTTTTGTAAGTAGTGTTTGCTTTATAATATAAATAGAAATCTCAAGAAGAAATAAATTAATAGTAGCATTGTTGAAACTATATTCTATAAAAAATGGTTTTAGTTTAATTGTCTTCATGACGTCTTATTGGGTGTTGACACGAGAATTAAAGAATAATATTATTTAATTAAAAATGAGTATAAAGTAGAATATAAAAGACTAAAATAGGTTAGAGTAATAATTATGGGTAGTTTGAAAAAGTAGGAATAATTTTGTTATAAAGTGGGGACAACGGTTACTAAATAAGGAAACGAGACAATTGTTTTGGGACGGACGAAAATGAAAAAAATAAGACAACTCTTTTGGGACGGATGGAGTATAATTTATAACAATTTTTGTGACTAAAAATACTTACGATACTATTACAATCATTGTTATTTAAAACTTTTGACAAATAATACAATTCTTCGTAATAGTTACAATATGTTTGCAATATTTGTCACTAAAAATAATTACGATATTGTTACAATTTTTGTGACTATAAGAAAAATCATAGAATCGTTGCTATTTTTTGGGACAACATATTTGTTACTAAATTGTCGCAACCTTTATGGCTTAAAAATTGCGGAAATCTCACAACCTTCGTGACAATATAAAGCCATAAGATTGATGCAGCTTTCGTTGCTATTTCAAGTTACAAAAATATCACGGACAAAAAATTCACCAATTTTTTTTTTTTTTTTTTAAATCATCAGCAAAATTCCATTGAGATGATTTTGTAAATTTTTCCGTGATTTTTCAGTAAAAATTACCAATTTACATTGAAATCGTAATATTTTCACTGTAACTTTTACTCAATATATTCTAATATATTTAAACCATATATTCTTTTACTAGTTTTTATTATGTATTTTTATAATACTTTAAAATCTTAAATTAAAATTGATCTTAAATATAAAATAATTATTAAATAAAATGTTTTTAATTTTTTTAAAACATTATCATTTGTTTTCTAAGAACATAATATTCTATTATAATATATAATATAAAATTAAAATTAGAAAGAAAGAAAGAAAAAATCTAGACTTTGGGAAATGATAAAGGCAGACAGAAGATGACAATGTAAAAAATCAAAATTATGGATTTAAATTGAGAATCTTGGTGAGCTCTTCCAATTTCTTCATTCTCAACTTTTCGCTTTCATCCACTAGCTGCAATACAATACAATCCCACCTCAATAATAAATAAAATAAATAAATAGATAATTAATTTAGACAAAATTGTCCATAACTCCCTTATAGTTTCGAAACTCAGCGTAATTTTTTTTTTACTTTAAAAATTGCATTACGCCCTCTTATACTTTCAAAAATATTGCATGAAACCCCCATCATGCAAAAAAATATGGATAAAAAATCATCATCACAGATTTCATACCACGTTTTTAAAGTATAGAAGAATGACATACAATTTTTAAAATATAAAAATTTTAAGCAAAATTTTGAAACATAGGGAAGTTTAATAAAATGAATAATACTTAATTTAAAGTAAAATTGCTTATAACTCCCATGTGGTTTCGAAATCCAGCATAAAATCTTCCTGTACTTTAAAAATTGCATGGTACCCCCATGAAACCCCACCACCATGAAACTTTCCTCGTGTGATAAGAAGATGATTTTTTATCTATATGTTTTGCATGACAGGGGGTTTTATGCAATATTTTTGAAAGTATAAGTGAGCGTCATTCAATTTTTTAAAGTAAAATGAGAATTTATGCTGGGTTTCGAAACCACAAAGTGGTTTCATGCAACATTTTTTAAAGTATAAAGGGACGTCATGCAATTTTTAAAGTAGAGGGGAAATTTACGCTGAGTTTCGAAACCACAATAGAATTACGGACAATTTTGCCATAATTTAATTACCTGGATGAGGGCAGTGGTGAGCTGTGCTTTCTCTTTGCATTTGTCTTGAAAAGCTTCCATTGCTTCTTTATATTCCTTTTCCTGTTTCCCAATAAATAAATAAATAAAGGTACCAAGTGCGTTTTTATTTATTGCATTTAGTTTGAAACTTATTTATTTTTTATTTATCACTGATAAATATTAATATAATAAATAATATTTTATATTTAATTATTAATTTTTGGAAAGTGATATAATATACTTTTTCATCTCATATAATATGAGTCTATTATCGTAGATACAAAAATTTAGTTAAAATATAATTCGTAAGTAAATAAGAAATGTATTAGTAAAATTATTATTGTATAGTAAAAATAATTATAATTTAAAATTAAGATAACTAAATAAATTAATTAAGATTAAAAATTATAAAATACTCCCTCCGTCCAGCTATAAAGTATATATATTTTTATTTTGAGACGTCCTATTACAAAGTAAATATTTCATTAAATACCTCACTTTTTTCCACAAATACTCTTACTTTATATCACATTATTACTTTTACACCAAAAAGTAAGGGAAAAAATGTCATTACATTACTTTTAACTATCCACTATAATTAAAATATTTATTATTTTTTAAACACCGCGCTAAAAAAATAAATGTATACTTTGTATGTGAACAGAGAGAGTATAAAATTTAAAACATAATTAAAGTATATAATCATATTTTCAAGAAATAAAAGGCCGAACTATATGAAATGAATGAAAATAGAAAATATGGGAAACGAAAGATTATATAAATATACTATATTCTTTTTATAATATTAATAAAAAAATGTATATTTTTTTTTTTCTTTTTAATTTGATGAATACATACTTAACAAGCCAATTATTATATAACCACTCCCATAGGTCAAAAAGTATAGGCCACTAACTCACTATACATATAATTATGTGAAATATATTACTATAAATATAAAGAATAATTATTCTTTATATATTTGAATTTTAAATTATAAAATTTTAAATTTAAATAGCTATTCGATATGATATAAATAAGTATTATTTATTTCGTCTTACTTATAGTGTTCATTTTTTTTATTTTCGTCCGATCTTATTTATTCTGTCGTTTTTTTTTCTAGAAAATAATTATACATTTTAATCGCATATTAAATTTTTTTAATCTATAATTTTTTAAGTTTTAATTAGACTAATTGATTATCTTAATCTTAATATAAAATTACTTTTATTATACGATAATTATTTTCAATAATATATTATTAATTATTTACTAATTATATAACTCCTAAATTCTCGTGTCTACGATAAATAGGACACGATAGTCGGAACGGAGAGAGTATTTTTTATTTTTTTTAAGCTATTTTTTTTAAAATAAAATATAAAAGATAGTGAAATTTTGAATTGAAGAAAGAAAATTTTAATCATAAAAATCGTTTTTTTTTTTTGTAAAAAAAATATGGAATCGAAACAAACAAATCCATACTTTCTTTTGGCAGATGAGGGTAAGAGACTTGATATCATTGTTGGCAGTGTCCAATTTTTTTCGGACAACACTCACTTCCTTTCTCATTGGATCTGTGAATACTTCCAGTTCCTGCACCAATCACCAATTATTATTGCAGGTGCTCTTATATATTTATGTTATATATGTATAATTTATATATATATAATTTATTTGATATATATATATGAATAAAAAATATTGTAATTTTGTGGTATAATAAATTTTTAATATTGAGATCTTAAGTTCAAATTCTATATATTTCAAATATTTAGAAATATTTTTTTATACTATTTTTTATGTAAAAATCCTAAAAGATTATTTTATTTAATTATTTATATTTTATTATAAATAAAAATATATTATTTATATATATTTAGGGGCCATATTTTTTTTCGCCTCGGCCTTTCGAAGATCAAGACCGGCCTGTATGAATGCAAAATAATTTATAAGAATTTCCAATGAACTATTTTCTATTTTATTTTTATTATGTAGATGACGACTTCCAATAAAACACAAGTTTTGAACGTCATGTTTTTTTTTTTTTATTAAGGTAAAATATTGAAATATATATACATTTTCTTATGTGTTTTGAATTAAATTAGTTATTTTAACAAAAAATAATAAGATGCAATTTTTCTCCGTATAAAAGAGCACTTGAAAAAATTTTGTTCTCTTCGACTAAAATTAACTCTTCGGTTAGTGGACTCGTGGATACATTTGGGGTTTCTACCCATTTTTGACGTGTTTTTGATCTTCCGACATGCACGGCGTACTTGTAAATATATTTTTTTTTATTTTATATCTATAAAATTCTTGATCTTTTCGATAAAAGAAAAAATCAAATAAAACAAAATAAATATAAAAAGAGTAGGAACATATTTTTCTTTTTCAGGATTTTGTATATAAATATAGGAAATTATATACATCATTTGACATAATAAAATAGTAATTACTTCATCCGTCCGCTTCTAAGGGTCACATTTACCTTTTGTGCCATTGTACTTAATATTAAAAATATCTTTATATTTGTATAATTTTTTGTACAAATGTCATTCTACTAATATTATAAGACATTAATTGAAGTATTTTTATAATTTTTTTCTTAATTTGTATTACGTTTTGATATAATAATTAATATTTAAAGATTAACACGCAGAAAGTAAATGAGATCCTTATAGCGGGATGAAAATAATATATGATATAATCTCAGGCACACAAATCCATTTATTTTACAATATATATAGAGAGATTATACATATAATTAACTATGTTTAAAACTAATACATTTTTACGGGGTTTGTTCACAAAATATTTTTGAATGACACATTCCCTATAAATATTATTTTTTTTGTCCATATATTTTGTCCATGTTAATGTAGATACGAAAATTTAGATAAAGTATAATTTACGAAAATTTAGATAAAGTATAATTAGTAAATAATTAAAAGTGTATTAGTAAAAATTATTATTGTATATTAAAAATAATTATAAATTAAAATTAAGATAACTAAATAGTTTGATTAAAGTTTAAAATATTATAAATTATGAAATTTAAAATATGATTAAAGTGTATAATTATATTTTCCAAAAAAAGAACATTATGTGAGACGGATGAAAATGAAAACAATAAAAAATTTATATGGGACAAAAGGAGTATAATATATATATTAACACAATATATATAATATAGGAGTATATTCATTCACTCATAAAGATACAATTCAATATAAAATATTTTTTATATTACTGACACTTTAATACCTAATATAAAAAATACATTCATTTAAAAGTGACAAACACTATAGTTTACCATAATTTAAAAATAAAAAATAAATAAATTGATGAGCTAAGCTTAGCTTTATTGATATGAGTATTTTAAAAAATCAAATAATGTGATACAATACATACTTTAACAAAATTATTAGTTTAACCTAAAATATTCTGAATTAACATATTATTTTAACTTGATTATATTATTCTCTTAAAAAGCAACTAATTAAACAACTGAACTTTTATAAATTTCTTGACCAATTTATTGTCACTTAAAGAAAATAAATTTATTACTCCTCTTATTCAAATTTAGGTCTTTTTTTTTCTTTTTCTTTTTTTTTTGTCATATAAAAATTTTCTTGTTTCCTTTTAGTAAAAATATTATTTTTTCTACTCCCTCCGTCATGCAAATGTGTGCTCATTTGACCGAGCACGAATTTTAATAAAAGTGAGTAATAATAATTACTTTTTTCTTTTATATTAAAAAAAGAACAAAAATATAATAAAAAAGGAAACGGGAATTTTTTTCAATGACAACTCAAAAAGGAAAGTGAATATAAATTTGAATGACGGAGGGAGTATTTTTTTTACTATGAATTTTTTTTATTTATTTTTTATAAAACTCGTGCCTGGTTAAATGGGTATAATGGAGTATATGATATGAACATTGATAAAAACATACTTATTGATTGACCATATTTACTTGTAAGATTTTTATTTAGGTTTTGAAATAAATTATATCTATATTTATAAATAAAATTTTATTCATTTTTGTAAATAAAATAAGTTATACACAATTTATCCTTGTTTGTAAATCAATGTATTGTAGCTAAAGTAATATCATATATATGTATGAAATATATAATATATGTATTTATATATGTGCTGGAAAAATGCATTGGTGAAATAAAATATTATATAATCACAAATAATAGAGTATTATTACCTCTATAAGGTGATAATATAATTCAATATTATTATCCAATATAAATATATATATATATAATTAACAAATTACTATTTTTATTTGTTTCTTTGTTTGTCAATGTTTTTGAGGTGCTTGTATTGTATTTTTTGTATGTTTCAGTAAAGTTCTTACAAAATATTATATCAAACAATTATTATTTCTTTTTTTATATTATACTATAAATTTATTTTATATTCAAAACATCGTATCAACATCTATTTATATCACATCAAACAACTATTCAGATTCAATTTTTTACTATTCAAAAATCAAAACCCAAAAACTAAAACCCACAAACAAACACACAATGTTTTGTGTAGCAAATAAATAATGAACGTGATATTTTAAAACAAAAATTGTGAGAGAAAAAAAAAAAAAAAAGACGAACACGAAAAATAACTTACTTCCCACACTTGCTTCAACCGTTTGGCTTCTTCCTCAGCGCGGGCGAATTGCGATTCAACCTTCTCACGGATTTGCAATTTCCTATGTTCAATCGCATTTTCTCTTGTTTGGTAAGATGCGATGGCGGCCTTCGACACGTCATCATGATCGTGATCCTCTTCGACCAGCTCGGATCGACCGCTACTCCCGATGGCCACTCCAAGACTCCTCATTTTGATCAATATTTGTGTATGTTGGATGTTGCATTAATTACCTAACTAACTAACTTATCACCATTGCTATATATTATCATCCAAAACTTGTTGGATTTTTATATATCACTCACTATATATATATATATATATATGCACTTCTCACAACTTTTAATGCATGCATGCTTTTGCTTTAATGCATGGCCTCTTTGATCTTCCCTCCCTTTTCTTTCAAGTTATTTATTTATATATTTATTTTTGGGAATGTATAAAAAGGAAAAGAAAATTAAAGCAAAAAAAAAAAAAAAAAAAAAAAAAAAAAGTAAAAGCGAAACAAATTAAAGCAGCTTCTTTGGGCTTTATATTGTTTTGTTTTGGGGTTTGTAACAATATTATCTTATATATATATATATATATATATGCAAATGCAAACAAGATTCGAAATGTGTGTATATAATCGATTTCTTGAAATATGGGCAATGTTGTTTCTTAACATGCACTCAACTCAAGGCTTATTGTCATATCCATATATGTGTATGTGTGTAAATTAAATGAAAAGGATCATGACATGAGACTGCACAGACATACAATTAGGCAAAATACTTTTTTAACCTTAGAAGTCACTCATAGTCATTGACGGAATCAGCTTTGCGGCTCCGGAGGGACAAAAGTGTTATGTTTATTTGTTTCATTTTTTTTTACCGTTTATTTTTAGTTGCTACTTATTTCGAGCCTGTTTTTTTTTTTATTATTATTTGAAATAGACATTCGGTTGTTTCTGTGTGTAAAAAAATAATATAAGAAATTTCTTGTCACTAATTTCTACCAAATTGATGTCATCTTAATTTTTTTAATTTTTTATTAACACTATAATGTGATTGTGAAGAAGAAGAAAATGAACGGAAACAATATTTACAATAAAATATTTTATTTTTTATATAATAAATTTATAAATAAAAATATTATATATTATTATAAATTAAAAAAATAATAATATGAAGGTTTATGTAGAATATTAATCCCAAATTGGGGAGCAAATTTGATTACTATATAAAAAATTAAAAAAAAAAATTACACTTGAAAAAAATAAATTTGGGAAGGGCTTGGAGGGTCAATTTATATATATATATTTATATTTATCGAACAAGTTACATTTCATTCATTATCATTGAAAATATGTGGAGCAATTTAGAATTTAATGTTTATAGGCTTCGGGTTCGATTAATTTAAATCATTGTATAGAAGACTTCATGCTTAGATAAGTCTAAAGATGACAAATATAAAAATATATTTCCTTCCTCTCACATATTTTATTATATTTATTATAAATCCGAGATTTAGCAGTTGTATAATTAAGAAATAATTAAAAATATATTACTAAAAGTATTTACAATACAATACAAAAAAAAATATAAATTAAAATCAAGATAATAAATTAGTTTAATTAAAATTGAAAAAAAAATATAGATAAAATATTTAAAATGTAATTAAAATATATACTCCCCCGTCCCATATCTATATATTCATTTGCTTTTTGTACGAAGTTTTAGAAATATTAGTATTATATTAGGATAAAGTGGAAATAAATGTAAAAAGATTAAATTAATCCTATTAGTATTGTATAAGATAAAAGTAATGACATTTGTGTAATATATTGTAAATTGGAAGGATATTTGTAATGTTAGATAAACAGTACAATTATAAATATTTTGTTATATGGGACTGACCAAAATAAAAAAAAATGAATAAATTAGTAAAGAACAGAAAAAGTATTTTTTTTTCAAGAAAAAAATGAAACAAAAGACGTAAAATATTTTAAAACAAATAATATAAGATGAGATATGAGATGTAAGACGATAGAACTATAACAATTGCATTAATTGTTCAAGCAGTAAGCAAAAAAAAAAGTACAACTATTGTTATTTTATTTTTACTAAAAATTAGTGACAAATCTAGACAAGGGCAAAACAAGTGCAACCTATAAAAATATTCACAAAATATACATGGGTGTGTTTGTTCGGGGAATTTTCCCCCAAACACACTATTCATCCCATTTTTTTTTCTCAATAACATCAAATCAAACATTTAATTTTTATTTTTTATATTATACTAAAAATTAATTTTATATTAAAAATATCACATCAACACCTGTTTATATTACATCATACAACTATTCAAATTCAAAATTTTTATTATCCAAATCTCAACTCAAAATTCAAATCCCCGAACAAACACACCCATGAAATAAATATAACAAAAACACAATGTAGTAGATCTTAAATCTCCTATCATTGCTAATTACCAATAGTGAGGAAGAAAGGATTCTTGCTAGCCCAATAGATCGGTGTGTGTTTTTGAAAAATCTATCAAATTGATTTTCTATCATTTGTTTAATGGTCAAATTATATTGTTTTGAACTCTTCCTTTACATACAGGTGACAAAAAATCAGGTCGGCCAGGTTCAGGTCAGCAATAAATGAGTTAGAAAACTATTGACTTGAACTTGATCCATTTAATTAAATGAGTTGATGTTAGCAATTTTAACTTTATTTTTTATTAATCGGGTCAATCCGAATCTGATATGCATAATTTGTTTAAATTTTAAAATTCTAAACTACAATTTTCACTAACAAATTTTTTCAAATGAATAATATATAATTAAATATATACTAAAACAAAAAGTACTCCCTTCATCCCACTGGATTATGCTACTTTATGGTGGACATTGTTATTAAAAAAAATATATTATCAAGTTAATTGTGTTTAGTTTAATTATTTAATGCTTGTAATAGAGTGAATGTATATATATATATATTTATTTAATATTTTATGAGTGAAATAAATGTTAAATAATTTTGACATAAGTAATTTTTGTATTTGAACCGATAATTTATTAATTATTTGTAATAGTACTATGTTTTTTTTAATAAAAAATAATTTATTTATAACAAACTATTTATAATTACTTAAACTATAAATTAAAAAAAATTTGTGTTTGGTTGAATTTAAAAAAAAACTACAATTCACCAATTTTTTCTTTTAATATAAAATAAAATACCTGTTTGTTGATTTTTTTATATTATATTACAAATATAACATTAATACATATTTAAATAATATCAAATAATTTAAATTAAAAAATTCAATATTCAAACTTTAAATTCCCAATCAAACACGTAGTTAGAGTTTATTTATATAATTTTCTCTCATAAAAATATCAAATAAAAATTTTATGTTTACTTTTTATATTATATATTAAAAATGAAGTTCATATCAAAATATTACATTAATATATATTTATTTAATATTTATGAATGAAATAGATATTAAATAATTTTGACATAAGTAATTTTTGTATTTGAACAAATAATTTATTATTTATTTGTAATAGTACTATGTTTTTTTTTCTAAAAAAAGAAATTATATATAACAAACAATTTATATTACTTAAACTATAAATTAAAAAAATTTGTGTTTGATTGAATTTATACATAGAAGAAGAACTACTATTCACCAATTTTTATTTTTTTAATATCAAATAAAACTCCTATTTGTTGATTTTTTATATTATTTTTTAAATATAACATTAATATATATTTATATAATATTAAATAATTTAAATTAAAAAATTTAACATTCAAACTTTAAACTCTCAATCAAACACGTAGTTAGAATTTATTTATATAATTTTCTCTCAATAAATATCAAATAAAACCTTTATTGCTTACTTTTTTATATTATACTATTAAAAATCAAGTTCATATCAAAATATTACATTAATATCTATTTATTTAACATTTAATAATTATTCAAATTGAAAATTTTACTATTAATATTTAAACCCAAAATCCGAACCCTAACCAAACACATTGGTAAGTTTATTCAACTAAATTTTCTTCCAAAAAATCAAGTCAAACTTGTATTTTTTATTTTTTTTATATCATATTTAAAATCAATTTAATATTCAAAATATCACATTAATAATTATTTGTGTAACATAAAAAAATTATTTAAATTTAAAAATCATACTATTGAAAATTCAAACCCAAATCTAAATCTCTAATGAGATACACCGTTAGATTTTATTGATCGGATTTTTTCGTTTAAAAAATATCAAATCAAAATTTTATTTTTTTTACTTCTATATTATATGAAATATGTCTTTTACATTCAAAATATTATCCCAATACATATTTATACTATATTAAACAATCTATTCAAATTAAAAATTTATTATTCAAAATCCAAACCCTAACCAACCACACCCGCTAAAGTCTATTTACCAAATTTTCCTTTTAAAAACATTCAAATTAAACTCTTATTTATCATTTTTTTTATATTAAAAATTAATTTTACATTCAAAACATCCTATTTATACATATTTATATTAAATAAAAAATTATTCAAATTAAATTTTTTTATTATTTACGCAAATCCAAAATCGAAATCTCAAACCAAACACTCCATTAATTAAAATATATTTTTTTAAAAAATAAAAATTTAGATTATTTTTATTTAAAAAAAATTCAGCTATGCATAGCCTAAGTCCGATTTTTCATATCATACCTGAGTCGAGTTTTAAAAATTTTGGAGCATATTTATTTTATCAATTTTAATTAAACGTTATTAAAAATAAATTTTTGAAATAATCGTGAGTAAAAAAACTAAATAGATTAATTTGAATTAGTTAAGATTTAATTGTAGGTAAAGTTTGTTAATTTTTACTTTTTTGGAAAAGTGATGTAATTAGGTGGGACAACTAAAAAAAAGAAATGTGGCATAATTGAGTGGACGGAGGGAGTATTTATTTATATTATGAAACTGATTTTTAAAAATCTAATTTAACAAATGCCATACAAAATACTAAAATAAATACATTTATTTTATATTATAAAGTCATAAGGTAACAACAAACTAACAACAAGCTAACAGTACAAAATTTTCTACTGTCACCCCAATTAACAAACACAATCAATGATCCACTGCCATCCATCTCAAATCACCGTTACATCGCTCATTAATTTTCCACATAAATCATTCAATTCATGATTCATTATTTCTATGAAACAACCGTATAAATATAAATACAAATAATTAGACTTATATTGATAGAATAATAATTATTATATTACTTGGTAATATATAAATTTATTACCTTCTCCAAATGTCCAATCTCTCATAAAAATAATTGACTCTACAATTGACGGCTTCAACAAACTTTTAAAATAATTAAGGACCCTCCCAC